ATGCATGTTTACATAAATGTGGTCCTCTGTGCGAAGGCTCCGGGACATGGGAACACGCAGTGGGGCTATGGATTTTATTTCCACCCCAGCGCACTGACAGCCAAGTTCTTAAATTAAGAAGGAAAAGAAAAGGAAATCCGAGGGGTTGTTTACTAGCGGCAGGAGAGTTACGAGGGACACCGGTTTAATTTCTGCACCAAGAGCTCAGGCCTGTGTTGGCTTCCAAGGAGACACAGGTGTGTCAGCCAACCTGTCTGCCTGTGCACAGCACCCACACCCCGAACCTCTCAGGGTGCCTCACAACGCAATTAATTTGCAGCTCAGATAATTAAGAGTCTGCCACGTGAAACAAATGAGAAGAGTTGAGAGTTAAATCTGTGATCACGACAGCTTTGAAACTGCAGCACAGAAAGTGATACGTCCCAGAAGTCAAAGCCATGGAAGGTGAGGCAGGAATCTGAGGTTTGGTCAAAATCACTCTATACTCAGGGTAGCCTGCGCTGGTTGAAGATGATTAGACTTGGTGCATACACGCCCCTGCCAGCCTTACTTTTCCTCTCCATCCTCCCTGCCTGCACATTAGCAGCTGCCTCCGAAGGTGGTGGCTGGGAAGAAGCTGTGCTTCCTTTCTAACCCTCTATACCAGGTTTAAAAATAATAATAATTTAATTTTTTTTATTAATTTTAGAGAGAGGAAGGGAGAGTGATACTGAGATAGAAACATCAATGAGAAAGAAACATCATTAATTTACTGCCTACTACTGGGGATTGAGCCAGCAACCCCGGCATGTGCCCTGACCGGACTCTAACCAGCCTCCTGGCTCATGGGCTGATGCTCAACCACTGAGCCACACCTGGCAGTCTATACCAGATTATTATTTACAGATGGTAGATATTGATATCATCATACATAAAATGGTAGGGCATATGCTCCTCAATAGCCCTGATTGATTTTTGGAAATCACTTATTTCTTCTCATTAAAAAAAAAAAAGGTTGAATTTGGAAAAGGTTATTTTTTGAAAAATTTTAAATCATTAATATATAAAATCAAAATGTACGGGTTGCTGATATTGATATAGTAGTAATTACAGAGAATCTAAATAGAAAATATCTCCATAGACCCATTCCCCACATAAAATTATTTTAACATTTTTCTGAAAAATTTCAAGCCTTTTTTTTTTTAAGGAAAACATGTACAGAATTGGGGGCGAACTTCATCTGCGCATGGGGAATTTATTTACATGTTAAAATCGGATATAAATACCAGTGGCTATGGGTGTGGGTTTTGAAGTCAGAACCAGTGAGACTAGATTTCAGCACCAGGTCTAACGCCACTGTGTTAAATCAACCCCGGGCTTCCATTTATGGTGGTGTAACAGGGACTGCATTTACCTCTTGCTGCAAACATTAGGAAACTGGATAAATGTATAGAAACAAACCTGACTCTAGAAATGTAACAAGGCGGGGGCACAAAACCATGGTCCTCAAAGGGAGCCTGTGGTGTCCCTGTTTTCTCTCCCCAGGCACATCCCAGGTCAGAGAATATGGAGGGAGGACAGACATGGGACATGCCTGCTTCACTGAGGTGAGGAGGCATGGAGGACTGAGGAGCTGGGGTTGTAGGTATCAGGATGTCCCGGGACTGCTAATGGAACAAGCTCCAGATGTCTGCCTAAGAGGGACACGCCAGGCGAGGCAGAGAATAATTCTCACAGACAGAGGTAGAAGATGGCTTCCCACCATCCACAGGTGAGTCTTAGGAGTGGTCAGCTGAAGGTGCATCTCAGTCATAAACCAGCCTGAGACAAATGTTGCCTCTAAATCTACTGGAAGGAAGCTTACAGGCCACAGAAAGATCACCCAGATTCCTAGTAACTTTGATCAATGAAATCTAACACCTGGAATAAATACACCACAGTCCAGCATTCCACAACATAATGTTCATGTCTACAATTCAATCGAAAATTTCTAGATGACCTACCAATGAGAAACATGATTAGGAGAAAAAGCAGTCAATAGAAACAGACCCATAGGTGACAGGGATGATGGAATGAGCAAACAGGGACTCTCACGTCCTGGCGGGGGTGGGGGGAGGGGGGATCCATAGCAGAGTGGGGACTGCAGCAGGAAGAACAGCAGACCTCAGACTCACATGGACAAAGACCCTAGAGAAACCCAAACAGGACAGGGAGACAACAGAAACCTGTGGACGGCATGGAAACGCCGGCCTCTGGTGCCGCAGCCACCGTGCACAGCAAGCACAGCCCATGTCTTAGCTGCATAAACATAAACCTCACTCTAAAAGCTAGTTACCTAGTTCCTTTTACCCAAGACCGCATGTTCAGGTTTCAATAAAAAGTGCAAAAAAGCAGTCTGCAGAGACAAAGCAAGCATTGCAGCCAGACCCAATCACGGCAAAGCTCTGGAGTATGAGCCTGTGAATTTAAAATAATTACTCAGAGCCTAAAGCCAGGTGGGAGTGAGTTCCTTGCCCTGCCTTCCTCACGGAAGCTAAAACCAAACAGGTGACTCATTCAATGTAAGCCTCACGTTCTCACACGTAAAAAGCTATGGTGCACCCTGCACAATTCTGAGGATAATATACATCAGATACATTCTTAGTTAGACATCCTAACAAATAACATCTATTTATGTGGGATTGTTGAGAACTAGCCTCAATAATTTTTGGTTATTGATTATGTAAGAGTATATTTTTTTAAATTTTAGGAATCCACATTTCCTGATGTTCAATGTAATAGAATAAGCTATTGATATCTGTTTCAGATGCTATCTCTCACTGGTTTTCTTTTTTAAATAAATTACCTAGTTTTCAAAGTATTTTTCTAACAAATATTTAATTTTTTTTTTTTTTGGTAACTTTAAATTCTGAGAAAGCTTGAAAATGGTCAAAGTCCATAATATCTTAAAAGGCAGGGAAACAAACACTGACATGAAGTCCCCATTTTTCCCTCCTTAAATTAATCAATCAAGAATTAATCATTAGACTAATACTATGGGATCAGTACTGAGGAAAAATAAAATAGAATCTTTTAAATACATGAAAAACACATAGACTGAAAACTTTAAATATCTACAGAATTCCACATATAGAAAGGAACCTAACAGCTTTATTAACCAGCCCTGTGTGGGTTGCTCACTGTATTTACCCAAGAACAAGATGGGCACTTTAAGTGGTGTTTCCCGCAGTTCGGACTGGTAAGCACCATTGCTAAATGTGCTGACCACCTTAGCAATAGACGGCTGTGTTTCCTGCGTGTATTACCCACCCTCTTCTCAAATAGGCAGTTATAGACCGCAGTACAATTGCATTCAGAGGGTGCCCCCACTTGGCCGGTGAGAGCCTGAGCCTGTCCAGTGTGGTCTGTGGACAAGAGTGGCCCTGCCTGGGAGCTCCTGGGGACAGAGACGTGGGACCGACGCCTACAACATCTCACTCTAACCACGTCCCCGGTGTATTGCACACTCATGTTTAGAAACGGCGAATCTACCCTGTTTACCCCTTTGTTCTGGGGCTACTGGTGTCCACAGGCATAAAAATGAAGTTGGCCCATCCCCCAAAGGTAAAGAGATGTCCGAATGTTATGTGCAAAACAGCAAGTCTTTGGCCGCCTTAGGAGCATCCCAGTCCTATTGGCTGATACACGGGTATCTGAGTCTCACAAAGCGCCCCCACTGCCGCAGGTGTGACTCAATCTAATTGTCCACCGTGAACAATGGCCCTTAATTCATCTTATTTTGGGAACCACAGTGCAGGCTTTTCATTTATAATGATCGCTGGTTAATTACGCAGGGCGACCCCACGGACTGTGGATGTGGGACAGGATGCAGGCAGGGTGTGTGGAGGGCTTGGTGACACACCCGCGCACTTACCCTCCTGCAGCTGCTGCCGAAGTGGGTCAGACTGGCAGAAATAACAGCGATTTAGGGGAGAGCTGCAGCCCCATCATTTTCAGAGTATTCGGCATTTTGCTTAAATTCCAATCAGAAACTTTCTCATTCCCCCAGCATTTGAAATCTGTTTGGTAATTTACCTTAGAGCAATGTTTGAATAACAAAAAGTTTTTTGTTTTTTTTTTTAATTAAAACACCAGGAAACAAAACAAAACAACCTTACTTTCCAAGGGCAAAGCATTCCAGTTTTACAGACGAATCCTTTGTGGCTTGTATAGTGTCAGGAAAACGCACTTCGATCTTTGGTTCATATTCCCCCATCACACCTGTTAAACATCAAAAGAGCTAGCAGCATTCTGGAGAACAGAAAACAGAAGTTTCCCATGAAGTCAGTGCTTCATTAACCAACATCGGATGTTTTGTCCTTCAATTAACAGTACGTTTCTATGTTTTCATGACTGACAGGAGCAAGAGAAGGTCATGATACCGTTTAAGGGGTTCCGTACTCCCCTCCCCTGAAAATCAAATGTCCAGGACATGGAAGTGTCAGAAAAGAGGCATCCATTTCCCTGGGTCCCACATCAACATCATGAGAAGAATTACCGTCACCGACGGAGAACTAAACACAGCATCTAAGATGCTCCTGGGTGACCACGGACGTCTCTCTTAGCGAGACCCAGCTCTGTCTCCCTTGGTGGGACTCACGGGGACCAGGTCAGTTCAGGAATAAGGAAATTTTCAGCTAACAAGGTGAGAGATCTGAGACAGCACCCTCAATCCAAAATCTCAGCATTTCTGCAACAAAGCCTGTGCAGTGATCGCGCTAGTTGGGATAAACAAAAATTAGTAAATATTCTTATGTCACTTTATTAAGTGCTTACTGCTCAATAGGTTTGCTCTACACGTATAAGAATGTTTGCTTTGATAGTTTTTGAATGTCCAATAAGGCGTTGTGGGCATGGGCTAGGTTGAGCGTGAGACCGCAGTCTGATTGTTGTAAATATGCCAGCTGCCAGGTGAGCTGTGACCAGCAGCAACGTGTCTCCGCTCTACTCTCACAGGCTTCGTTCATTTAACCGAGGACACACCGAGGTTCTTTAACAGTTTGGTTATTGTTTTACTGGAGTGATAGATTCCTAAAATAAGCAGTTATTGGTGGCCAGTACAATTGAACCAAAGGCAAAAATTGCAAAACACGTGGCAATAGAAATACCTCATTTTTAAGATGTTGGTCATTCTGAACATTCAAAAGGGTCATGGGCAGAGCACTATGTTACTCACCTACCTGGGTGGGTGTCATACTTTCCATTCTCTCGACATCTGCTCTTTCTTGAGTGACAACTTTTACTATATACAATGCTCCTGATCTCTTGTTATCATGAATGTGTTGAAGGGAGAGAGGGGTGGGAGAAGAAGGGGATTAAGAAGGGGAGAAGCAGAAGCTAAGGGAAACAGAAAAAAGTGGGGAAACACGGTAGAATTTCTATGCATGTTGTTGACCTGAAGGGAGACAGCGGACTCATGGATAAATCTAGTGGTTGCTAAGTTCTGAATGGAGACCATGAAAACCTGTCGGGCAGTCAGTGATTATAAAAGCTCTCCCCTGAGAACTGCCTGCATGCAGCCAGTTTCAGCACTTGGTAGCCACCATTAGCATTATATTCTTGCTTTTGCTAAACTCCTCCGAGAGGAGATAAACTCTGTGCCAATTCCAGAATCTGAACATAAAATGCAGCAGCCGACTTTCTGTGGGCACCTCTCCCACTGTGCATGTTTAATTAAAGAATCTGCTGGAGGATTTTTCTACTTGGATGATTTCCTTACGTTTTCCATCCTCTCAGTCTTACACCGGCGATGACTTGATTAAGCTACACAGCTCATCTGAAGTGTGTCTCTGGGCAGACAAGCGTTAGCATGCATCTTGCGTCTCATTCCTCTTTGCAATGCTCATAACTAATGTTGGCTCTCTCTCTTCCCTGGAATGTGAATTTTCCCTCTTTTTGTCAGTCAGGTTAATAAAGGGTGAACAAAAGAGACAAAGATGAAAAAGAAAGGCACCAAAGGAAAGCTGTGTCCCATGTTCATTAAAAATATAACAATTCAATTAATAAGTTTGGCAGTGCCCACGCATGTATACACACACCTACTCTCCAAATAGCGTTTTTGACAAAATACTCCTTAAGCAAAGCAAAAACCAGATGGATTACAGTGCCCGAGAAGAGACGGCATTGTATAGCCAGCATCACATAGATGGCATCACCCGGGTGAGTTACAGAATCTTTTTATGTTTGTGATGGTTATTATAGTTGTGAATGGACCCGGGACTCCTCGCTGGTGTGGCTGCTCTGGACCAGAAGGAAGCAGAGCGCTCACAGACCTCCCAGGCTTAGCCAGCGACCGAGCACACCCCCAAGAGAACCCTTCCCCTTACCATCAGGCCGCTGCACCAGGGGCGTGGGTGGGCCTCGGACGCTTCTCCGCGCTTCCCTGTTTGTTACGAAGCAGGTGTAGTTGCCCACATCGGACGGCTCCACTTTGGCGATGTACAGGTTGCCTGTCTCTTGAGAAACAAACCGCCTGCTGTCCTCCTGGACGTGCAAAGGGTTATCGTTGAAGGTCCAAGCGTAAGATAAATCTGGAAAACAGGAAAAAGACCTCGTGTCCTTACCCGGTTCCTCCTTTTCTGAAAATTCTGTGCCCTCCTTATCCATGATGAGAATAAGATCCCGCCCCTGTTTGTCCAGTGTGTCTGTGGTCCTGGTGGAATGGTAACATTCTCCTCTATTCAGATGTCGCCCAGTTTGGATGACACATCCCATGGTCATCCTGCCCATGATGGCCAGAAGGCAGAGGCAGGAGCTGGAGCCGGTGGGGATGTCAGAGTGCTGTTTGACTCCTAGAAGAAGGAAGGTCCATGTAAAGGTCAGAGCTGCAGCTGAGCTGTGAGCAATGAGCTCGCCATCTGTGGTGACCAAGCAGAGGACGGACTAGCATCGCTTGAGACGTTGCAAGATTTCTCGTCGCAGAGGTTGGGAGGTTGAACCCATGTTTCCGTGAATGGCCTACTCTGCCCTCTGCCTTCCTTTGACCCCCCTAAGAGTCTGTTGCCTTACCAAGAGTGGACAAATGCAAGTCACTTCTTATTTCTTTTAAAACGTGCTCTGAAATTCTCATCCATTCCCAGTTACCAGGTCTTTGTTTTCTTCTGCAAGTCCCTCCTGGCGTCCTCCATCATCCCAAGGGGTCTCTTGTCTCTAAGGTTCTTTACTGATGCCCTTTGCTGCCTCACTCCAAGCCTCTTGCTTTGTCTCCACCAAAAAAGGGGGTTCCCAGGGATTTTGTTGGAAACCACAGAGCCATCTAGATCGTCAACTTTCCTTCAACATAAAGAGGACAAATGTAGTTGAGATTCCCCAGGTCTCGGGGACTCCTCATCTTTGAACTTTTTGTGGAACAAAGATGCTCTTGAGCCAATGTCCAGGCTGTGCTGAGCTGAGGGGGTCTGCGGTCAGTGCCGCCGCGGGAGAGAAACCAGCGCCCGCTCTCTGAAACCAAGGTCACCCCTTTCCCGTAACAGAAATGACAGGTTGCCGCTTCTTGTGCCTCCAAATCATTATTTCCTATACCGTGTAATCTTGGGATCTGAGGCCGTAATTCCCATCTCTCCCTTGGGAATTCATTGTTACCTTAGCTGCTCAAACGTTTCGACCTGCTCCTATGTGCAGCATGTCCTTCAAGAGTGGAACTTGTAGGAGCTCCTTAAAGACTGCGGTCCAGAAATAGGGACGACTCCATAAAGAATAATGACCACAAAACAGAGCTCTAATGAGAGGGTGTGAATGTCACATTGTTGATTCAAGGGAGAAGGACGAGGACCTAGATCCTCAAACGCCACATCCTTTGCTCCCTCCTCCAGTCCCACCTCTCTTCCTTTCTTTGTTTCTTTGATTCTCTTTTTGTGGGTCAGGGCTCGCCATGGCTACCCTCCCTCACCTCAGGCTTCCTGCAAACCCCCAGGCTCCGGGCATGCCCAGCCCTTCTCACATGTGGGAAGGCTGGGCCTCACCTTCTACTCCTCCCCCCTCAACACCGCCTGCCCTGAGCTCAGTGTCTCAGAATCTGGTGGGATCGAAATGATGTGTCTACAGCCAATATTAGCAGGGAATGAAACACATCTGTGAAACCCCTAACAACTAATTCTCTCCAAAATGGCCTGTCTAGAGCAGAGATCCTAAAACTTGAGTGTGCACCCGAACGGTCAGGAGGACTTCTGGGCTCTGCCCCCTGAGGGCTTTGTCGGTGGAAGGAGCCAGATTGTCAGGTTGGATCAAATGATTGAATGGATAACCCTCCACTGGGACCTGACCTTTAGACCACTTCACCAGGACATTCCCTTTCGCTCAGACCGCATTCCACTGGCCAAGACCAGTATCTTTCCCTTCAGGACCCACCCAGAGAATTCTCCGCCCACAAAAACCCTGCCTAGAGTCCTTTAAAATCTCTGACTCCCTGTCCCTGGGGCTGTCGCCATTTGGGGGCTCAGCCCATCTGGTCTCCAGATGACCTGATAAGGTCATAATTCTTTACTCCTCCTGGCCTCGGGCATTCCTCCTTCTGCGACACCAACACAGACAATCCCACTGCCGACAATTCCCAGGTGCTGCTGGCCTGGGCCCCGGTCTCCACGTTGACAATTGCCTATATCAAGGTCAAACTCCATCTCCCCTGCAGGAGCACCCCCAGAGGGAAGCCCTGGACTTGGGGAGATTGGGGGCCCGTGGCCCTCCCTCTGGGAGCTGTGGGGCCTGGAGAAGAGTGTGTTCTCAGTACAGAAGTTCACGGACTGTCTGGGACGGAGAAGGCCTGAGAGGCCCCCCCCCGCCCCCTGCCCGTCTGTGATGGCTGATGCAGTCACATGGTCCCTCCCCCGGCTGCCTCTGCCCCTCCATCCACACAGCCCGCCTTCAGGGGCCCTCATCTGCTTGGTTTCATCAGCAGCCACTGCGCGCTTAATCTGTCTATTTTTTAATAGGGCAAGAAAAAACCCTCTGCAAATTGGAAGTTTAAAATCCTTCCCATTTGGCTTTCCTTAATTAAATGCATAATTCATGAGCCATTTTATTTGAAACCATTGCATTTTTAAATATCCCTCCCCCGCCCCCGCCCACA